TTTTTTTTCATTTACCTCTCTTCACGATAATTCCCTTTTTGAACTGATTCTATTTTGCAAACACTCGTATTGTCGCCATTTTGGACTGCGATCAAAGTTTTTGGACTACTATGTTTACTGTTTTCGATACCATTGATTCCTTCATTAGAGAAAAACATCACTATAATGAATCTCTTCGTTGTTACAGATTTCCAAACACATAGAACAGGCCTCCCAGGAAACAACGTCAGCGTCACCATCGTACATATCGTCTACTCCTGTGGTATCCTCCTCAGTTTCATCGCCGTCACCCTCGCCTTCAAAGTTGACGACTACAGTCTGATTAGACACATGACATTGTACTGATTTAAATTCTAAAAAGTGCTGATAACTCAAACCACTGTGCAATCACATCTCAACCTGACTTCCGGTTTGTTGTGGACTGCCACAGTTTACCAGGGTATGGTCGTGTCTATATGAAATATAGAATGTCTCAAACCATTCGATACTCAAGAAGAATGGAAACAATGCCATAGTTGCTCAAACGGATGTCAGTTTTCTATTACATGGAGCGAGTTGATATGAGACATATGTTTGTGTACCGGAAGTAAAATGTGTATATACGCTTAGTGTGTGTACCGGAAGTGCGAAAATGCCTGTGTGTATCGGAAGTGAGAAAATGCCTATGTGTGTTTCGGAAGTGAGAAAATGCGCGTATGTGTGTGGTGTTTTAATGTGTACCGGATGTGAGAGTATATATGTGTGCTATAATAGTTTGTGCTAAGTTTTGTGCTTATAGTCTTCCGTTAATATATGGTATAGTTAAATAATACAATTGAATATATCAAACTAAAATCAGTTTTTGTTGTTGTATTTTGTTAAAAGTAATTTGCTTGTCAACACAGAACACACGAAATGGAGTTTCTAGTGCGATTAACATTAAAAAGTCATTTTCGACAAATTGGGTTCGCAAACGTCCATTTTCTTGACAATATAAATGAAAGCGCATTATGATTTGTTTGCTTGCAAATCTGTGTCATTCAAATAGATCATAAACACCATACAAAAACAGTTCAATACATTTTCGTTTTCTCTGCCTCTTATGTTCTTTTTTAATTTAAAATTTATATTTAAAATTTAATATTCCCGCCTTATCGACAGTCCACACAAATTCGTTCAATAGTTGGAACAGCGTGTTGTCGCGTGCTATTTGGCAAATAAAGTAGTACTTTGAAATTTTAACAAACACTTCAATTTTATTCCACAATTCAGTATCAATATAATTGCGTTTGGCATGTCTATAGGGTGATTTTTTCCCCGGAACAAATTTCGTGCATGGATAAATACAGTGAACACCGTAAATCCGACCTTGACCTCCACGAGGGAGTTATTTTTGGAAGTTAAATGAGCAAAGAGAAAAGTTCGAATTTGTGAAGAATCCAGACGTGAATTTATTTGTTGATTGTATGGGAATCTGACTACAGTCGATAGATTCTATAACAACCTCGTTATTTGACATGTTGTCAGAAACTGAGGGAACCGTTGC